ACTTAGGAACCTAACCACAAGATGTAATGTTTCCATTTGGAAAATGGGTCAGTTCTTAGCAGCATTTGGAAGTACTTCCTTCTCATTGGCTGGAAGTGTCTCTGATGCCAAACTAAGAGGGGGATTATTTCTAAGATTCTCTCAGATGCTGTGAAGGGTTAGATGACCCTTCAACAACATATGTCATCCTCCGGTCCTCACCGTGGCCTGCTTTAAGAATTTGGAAAGTCAGCAACAGAGATGTTTTCTGGGCACTTTGATTCTGGCCTCTTTGGGTTGGTGGATATAAGGTCAAGGCTTCTGCTCTTCAAATCAACACTAGCTTGAAATGTAGAACCTAAGCACACCCTCTTGTATTTATGTGAATATTTCGGTGTTTTTCGTCATTGAATATGTCAAACTCTGTAAGATTCTCCATCAACTTTTCTTTGCTGTAAAAAAATAAAAGCCTCTACAAATGCTTTTAAACAGAGAGAACTCCCCTCAATAAAATAATTTTTAAAAAGAATAATGAGGGTAACAAATGTACAAATGTGCTTTATACAATTGATGTATGTATGGATTGTGATGAGTTGTATGAGCCCCCTATAAAATGACTTGAAAAAAAAGAGAGAGAGAACTCTTACTTGACAGTGAGAGAAATCCAATTTCATACTTTCAGTGAAAGAGGAAGTGTGTCATGTCACGGAGAACCTACTTATGTTGAGATTCAGTTACTGGAGAAATGTCATCAGCGCCACTTATTTACCTATTTTATAAAACTGCTATTGTTGATGAGGTCTTGAGTTGTGCTGTAGGAACACTGTAAATGGAACAAGGTCATGGACACTGCTCATACAGCATAACTACGGCTTGAGCACTCCTGGAAACCTTGATAAAGATAGCTTATTCTTGAACAGAGTCCGAGAGCAGGTGAGAAGGTCAAGTTCTAGCCCTGCCCCTTGTGACCCAACAGAGGCCTTAGAGACAAGACCAAGTTCTATGGGCCCTGGAGGCCCCTTCCCATCATAGGCCCTGACCGGGGGAAGAGGACAGTACAGCCTTGTGAAGAATGGATAAGCGTGGTGAGTGGGGCGAGAGCCAGGGCAGGTCCAAGTTCAGGCCTCTTGACTCTTGCTTGGGTTAATCAGCCCATCACCATGGCAACCCAAAGGTAGATGTCCAGAGTTTCCTTAAATCCCCATCCATGGAGCTAGAAACGCTCACCTTCTAGGATACTCATAACACCTGTTCCCTCATCTCCATCTGCTCCTCTTCAGATCTGCCTTTAGACTGAACTATTGCCATGCCTTCTTAAAGAGTCTCCCACTTCACTCTCAGGGGGAAAGACCCTTAGAACCAGTCTCTGAGTATGATCCTCCATTACACTACTGAGAGGCAGAGTTCAAACTCCATAGTCCAGCACCCCAGAGCCTTCCCAGAGAGCTCCCAACCATACTCGACACCCATTTCCCACCCTGCCTCCTCCCTAAAATGCTCCCGGCCCCTTTTTCCAGCTATGGACAGGCCTGGCATTTTACAACCAGATGGTTTCTGAATATCCCTTTCTAAATAAAGCTTCTGTGGACCCCGAGTCTCCCCCTTTAGCAACACCAAGGACTGGCAGAATCTCTAAAACACCTCTACTGGTGTCAAAAGCCTTGGGCCAAATTCACAGACCCCTTTACCTGTGCCCTTACCTACATCAACGGGCAGTGAAGATTAAGGGACACAATGTGTGATAAGAGTTTAGCATAGTGACTGCACGCCCACAGTGGGTGCTCACTAAATAGGGGTAAGAACATTCATTTCATTATTCCCTCCTCAAATCTATTCCATGTCAGTAGATGGGTTCTGCCTCAGCCCCTGTAATCAGGTGGACCAGAGATTAATAGAACTTTTTTTTTTACCTTTTCAGGGCAAGCCCCAGAATTTGTGGCCACCCTACCCCCCTTTTTTTTTTGGTTTATTACAAATCTAGCTCCTCAGTCCAGGAGACTCAGGGCGTTGTGACTGCGTGAGTTGTTTGCTGTGAGTGAGTGGGTGCCTAAAGCAGACGCCAGGATGGTTCCCATGCCAACGCAGGCCTCCTTGCCTGCCCAGGTTATGGCTTCTGGGCAAGGTCACATCACTGTCCAGGAGACTCCTGGTAACCCTGCCCCATAGGAACTGTCCCATCTTTCTCCCCTATAAGCTGTTGGGTTCAAACCGTCCATCTTTCAGTTAGTCTCTGCGCTTAGCCACTGCGCCTAGCCACGGCGCCATCAGGGCTTACGAGGAAACAGTGGCACTGCAGTCCCGTGGGTGGCTGCCTTCAAGCTTGGCGGAAGGAAGAAACCCAGCCACCCCTGCTCTGAGGTTTTGTCTCCAGGAAGCCTTAGCCCACGGCCCAACCTTAGGGGGCGCCCATTGATGGGACGCCTTTGTCCACGGCCCACCCCTAGGGGGCGCCAATTTCCAACGTTTCTACATGGAGCCGTGGGTTCGCCACCCTCGGCGTCCTTCCCCTGGCTCGCTGTGGGGAAGGAAACAATACAGGACCATCACCGATTAAAATGACCGTCCGTGCCACTGATGCGTGTTGAGGGCCTAGGTGTGCACCGGAAAGTCAACCCGAAGACACTGGACGACGGCCGGTCGTTTCTTCCGCCTTGGCGGTTCTCGCCTGGACAGGGGCTGCCTCGGTTGCTTGCTCTGTTGGGACGGACGCCATCGCGTACCCGCCTCTCCCCAGCCCTGGGAACAGCTCGGAGAGGGGGTGGGACCGTCCGGAATCCTTAGCTAGGAAGCGTCAAAGCGCAGCAAGCCCGCTCTCATTCGGGGGCGTTCCGACTGGACTCGAGCTTAGAGACTGGCGGCGAGCGGGCCGCTGGCCCTCCTTGGCCGGGATAGCCCTGCACCCTGAGCCCCTTTTACGGAGTTCTGCCCACCTGGTGCATGTCACACGCATGGTCCTTCGGCAGACAGCTGCTTTTGCGGGGGGTGCGGGGGAGGTTGTGGGCAGCATCTGGGACCCCGGCCATTCACTAGGCGCGGGGGACTGTCCTGACCGCCTCCCCGCCTGCAGGCGTGAAGACCCCCTTGTGGAAGAAGGAATCAGAGGAGCCCC